TCCCCTTACTGCAGGGGTGCTGGGAGGAGACGAGCCAGTCAGGGTGCAGTGTAGCAACGATGAAACATACAACTTTCCTCTAGTTCCTAAATGCTTCCTCCCCACCCACTATCATGATCCTAATTGTACCTTACAAATCCGGCTAGGCCAGATGATGTACACTGGTACAGATAGGAACTGGAATCCAGGGCGGATGCTCCCTTCAGTACCAGTGGTGAGAGTGGCGATACCAGGAGGGTGGAGAGAGGGTGGGTTGGAAAGGGGGAACCGATTACAAGGATCTACATATAACCTCCCTGGGGGATGGACAACAGAAAAGTGGGTGAAGGGAGACAGAAGACAGTGTAAGATATGATAAAATAATTTATAAATTATCAAGGGTTCATGAGGTAGGGGGAAAATGAGCTGATACCTAGGGCTGAAGAAGAAATAAAATGTTTTGAAAATGATGGCAACAAATGTACAAATGTGCTTAACACAATGGATATATGTATGGATTGTGATAAGAGTTATACGAGCCCCCAATGAAATGATTTAAAAAGAAAAGAAAAAAATAACCTGATTGAGGACTGATACTGATCTGATTAGGAACTTTTAGTGCTTCTCATTCTTCCTGGTATGATTGAGACTTTTGAGAGTCCAACTCTTCTTTTTGTACTGATTTATGTACCGTATTTGGTTAGCTACAACATAAATGGAAAGGATTTTTGAAGTTTTTGTGCTTCCCCCCGCCCCCCCTTGGTGGTTTGGTTTCTTATGTTGCTTATGTCCATGGTTCCTAAAGTTTAGTCCTAAGCCAGGAGCATCAACATCTTCTGGGATTTGTTAGAAATACCAATTATTTGGCCCTGCTCCAGACCTAATTAGGCAGAAGTAGTAATGCTGATGCATCATAAAGTTTGAGAACCTTTGGTATAATCTAATATAAGGGTCTAACATTACAATTGTTATATATATTTCTGTTAAAATCTCCTTATGTGGTACTTCTGTTAGCAACACTACAAAACTAATGCCTGGTATCACCCTCTCTCCTGGAATATCAGTAGACGCACATATTTGTGTATTCTGTATTGTTTTGCAACTTTGCTTCTGGTTCTTTCCCAATGTTTTTATTATTTTTTTGTTTATCTTGAAGTTCACTGACTTTCCCAGATACGAGTCTACCTAAAGCCAGTTGAACATATTCTTCTGTGTGTTCTACTTCTAGGATTTCCAGTTGAATCTCATAATTCCAAAATTAGAAAAAAAATCCCATTTTTTTCCTGCATGCCATATATCTTTTCAGCTGTTGTTGTTTGGTGTCATCGAGCTGGTTCTGATTCACAGCGACCTGACAACAGAATG